GTATTGAATCTCTTCTGATACGTGACACCACACTCCCCACACTGTCACATTCCGCTTGGTTTTACACTGGAATACTAACCTAGATTTTGTGTTCAAGACTCTCGTGGGTGGTGGCCAAATGCTGCCTACATTCCAACAGTGAGGAACACCAGCTATGAAGATCGATTGGAGGAATTAGGACTGTTTCATTGGTGAAGAGAAGGCTGAGGGGAGATCTGATTCGAAATCATGACAGGTCTGGACTGTGTGGAACAGGAGAAGTTGTTGCCTTTTGTGAACCAAAGACAGGAGGGTCGAAATTTAAAACAATTGGCAAAAGAAGCAACATGTTTTCAGACAGTTGTGGATAGGGTTTGGAATGCAAATTATCTATTGAAGTGTTCAAAATGGAGTTAGGCTGTTATCTAAAAAGGAAGAATTGCAGGGTTCAGGGAGAAGGCAGGAGAATGATACTAAGGCAGGAGCTCATTCAGAGAGCCAGTGCAGACATAATGTGCTGAATGAACTCCTTCTGTGTAGGCACACATCCATGAGAATTATGTGATTCTCTCTCACTTTGGAAAGAAACGGTTGTTGTGTGAAACTCACTGCTTGGGATTATTTCGGAGTAATGGATGCCTGGGCCAGCTATCATTAAGTTGGCAGTGCCCACTGTTACCTTCCTAGGTTCTACGCGAGAGGAATGAAAAGTAGCCCGGAGATAAGGAAAGACGAGTACCTGATACTGACCTGAACCCTGGCTTCAGGCAGGTTAATCTTAGCTGCAAGTCTATCCCGTGTGCAAATGTCTGGGTAGTGTGTGATCTGAAAGATCTTCTCCAACTCATGGAGCTGCTCTGTGCTGAAGGTTGTCCGTATTCTTCGCTTTGACTTCCTTTCATCTGGAGGTAGACAGCAAAAAAAATAACCTGACTACTGTACAGGCTTTGTATTCTCAGGACAGACCCTTGTGCATTGGTACTGTCTGTGCAGGTTCAGCCCATTTCGGACTATCCATGTTGGCCCTGAACATCAGGTAGGGGGCTGGATTTGGATGAGATGCTTTTTGAAGGGTCAGTGCCGACCCAACGGGCTGAACAGCCTCTTTCTGACTGCGTCACAATTAAGAGCCTCACTAAGTAGCGACATCAAAGTGCCCATGGCCAACTAGGTCATTTGTACTCCAGGTGTTAGTATTGAAGGTGCTAGAAAATCTTGAGTCTGTTTAACACATTGATTTTTCATTGATGTCAAGATCTGTTCCACCTCTTCCTCCACTATGTTCCTAATAACTGATTGAAACTGTTTAATCCGACAAATATATGAAGGATATCTATATTGTGGCATGCTATATGTTTGTTTTTATTGACATTACGCCCAAATTCCCTAATAGTATGGGAAAATGTGAAACTTGGCAGGAAAAATAAAAAGCAGGGTATTACTTAAACGGAGAAAGACTGCAGAACTTTGAGGCACAGACAGATCTAGATGTTCTAATTCTTGACTCACAAAAATATTAGTATGGAGGTACAACACATAATCCAGAAGGCTAAGTAAGAGATGCTAGCCTTAATTATGAAAGGAATTGAACATAAAAGTAAGGAGATTATGATTTAGTTACACAGGGAATTGGTAAGACCACATCTTGACCGCTGGGTGCAGTTTCGCTCTCCTTAGTTAGGGAATGATGTAAATGAATTGTAGGCAGCTCAGGGGAGATTTATCAGACTGATACCTGGAATGAATGGCTGGTTCATCTTATGAGGAAAAATTGGCTAGACTGGGCCTGTAATTTGATTGAGGTTGATTGTTTCAAGAATGGCTTTGACATGGTGGATGTAGAAAAGATGTTTCCTCGTGTGGCTGAACCCAGAACTAGAGGACACTGTTTTAGAAGTAGGGGATGCCAGTTTAGGGCAGAGATGTGGAGATGTCATTTCTCTTGGAGTTTTGTGTAACTTAAGGAAGACTGTGCCTCAGAAAGCAATGGAGATGGGGTCATTGAGCCTTTTTAAGGAGGGGTTAGATAGATTCTTCTTAGGCCGGGGCACTAAAGGCAATTAGGGATAGATAAGAACTTGGAATGCAACAGACAAAGAGATCAGCCATGATCTTATTGAATGGTGGATGGCTGAATGATTTAGTTTTGCTCTCAATTTGTGTGCCTCTTCATTGGTGTCTCAGTGGTTAGCACTACTGCCTCATTGCACCAGGGACCCAGGTTCAATTCCACCCGAGGGCAACTGTCTGTGCGGAGTTTGCACATTCTCCCTGTGACTGTGTGGGTTTCCTGCAGGTGCTCCAGTTTCCTCCCACAGTCCAATGATGCACGGGTTTGGATCTGGATTGACTGTACTAAATTACCCATAATGCTGAGGGATGTACAGGCAAGGTGGATTACAGGGGGTTCGATGGGACGGTCAGTGAGGATTTGATGGGTTGAATGGCCTGCCTCCATACTGTAGGGATTCTATATTCCTTTCTGATTTGCATGAAGGGCATACTGTGAGGCATTATTTTTTTAGTTGTCCTTCTGACAGGTAGCTGTGAGAAATGCCACAGGATTTGCTTTAAAAGCCCTGGGCAGACAATATTGTACCAAGAATGTGGGTCAGTCAAAAGACTCTTTTCTTCAAGTGACAACTGGAGGCATTTGCAGCGAATCTGTGATATCATAAAGACCCCTTTGGATTAAAGAACGAAACACCAACTAGAAATAGAAAAACCTGTGTCAAGCTTTCCTCAAAATCAGTAGATCGTGTTGGTTCAATTCTTTAGCCAAAACTTGGTTGTAGCTGATGCAGTTTTCTTTTCTTGAAATGAAGCTGGAATTCTGAACTCATTCTGCAGGATTTGGTCTGGCATCTCTCTGGATTTCTAGCATAAAACCCATCCAGTATATGACCATGTGAAGGCTAAGCTACTTAACTCTCCCTGGGTTACAGCACTGCTGATAGTGCATGTCAAATTCAATGTCTAGCCACCGCGTTACACATCTCAGGAGGACCCATTGACTATATCCTTCGCCATTTATTCTGCTGCATGTTTTCCCTTTGCTTTAAAGCTTCTCTGGCTTTACCTTCTTGCTCCAAAACTCCTGACTTACGTTTTGCCTTGTGAGACACAACTCACCATAGAAGGAGTTGTCTGCTGAGGTGTCACAGTCACTTGCCTCCTCCCCATAGTTCCTGTCCTCCCTCAGGCTCTCCACACAGTGGCTTTCCAAGATGGCGGCCGTTAGCTCGCTCCGTGAAGCTGTCGGTGTGAATGCAGACTTCAGGGCCTCTCTCAGTTGCTCCCGAGCAGATTTCTTCCCATCTTTCAGATCTGAAAGAAATGGTCAGACATTATACCTGGAAAACTGACCTGAGAAAGTCCCTGTAAATCCAGTGAAACGTCTCACAAACACACGACAAAGAGCTGCTTCATTAAATGTCGCTATGAATAATTAATTTCATAAATGTGGAGATTTGCATTCTAAAATGGGTGTAAAGTTGAGTGCAGATACCCTAGCAATATTAAAAATGTTACTAAGTCGAGTAGAGATACTTGTACAATGTCTATGACATCTTTACACTGAATACAGATAGCCTCTTATTAAAACTCTTTACACTGAGTACAGATACTCTCATGAGGCTTAAACACATTAAGCTGAGCAAAGATGCCTTTGCAATTTTTAAACACTTCTCAGTGATTGCAGATGCCTCTGTAAAGTGTTTGATTTTTATTCACAGGTCATGGATGTCACTGGCCAGGGCCAGTATTTGCTGCCCCATCCCTATTTGCCCAGAGGGCAGTTGAGAGCCAACCACATTGCTTGTGGGCATGTAGGCCAGACCAAGTAGGAATGGCAGATTTCTTTCCCAAAGGGATATTAGTGAACCAGATGGGTTTTCTACTGACAATCAGCAGCAGTTTCATTGTCATCATTAGACTCTTAATCCCAGATTCCTATTATATTCAAATTCCACCATCAGCCATGGAGGGATATGAATCTGAATCCCAAGGATGTAACCTGGATCAATAATCTAGTGCTAATAAAACTAGATCATCGCCTGTCCATTATACCTAGCGCAGATACATTCGTAATGTTTAAACTTATTTCACTGTGTACAGATATCCCCTGTATTGTGTAAAACCATAGCTCTGAGTATGGATACTCTCGTAAAGTTTAAACCCACATTACACTAAATACAGATACACTCGTATTGTTTAAAACCATTATACTGAGTACACATGATCTTGTACTGTTTAAACTTCAGCTAAACAAGTAGTGTGTAAATCCATTACAGAGTACAGGCCCCTCATAACGTTCAAACCCTATTACACACAATACAGATACCCTGGTACTTTGTAAACCCATTACACCATCTACAGAAACCCTCATATTTTAAACAGCATTGCACTGAGTACAGATAACTTTGTAATGTTTAAACCTACACTACATGCAGCACTGATACACTTGCAATGTTTAAACTGATTACACTGAGATGTGATACACTCTTAATGTCTAAACCCATTTACTCCGAGTACAGCTACCCTTGTAAAGTTCAAACCCATTACATTGAGTACAGATACCTTACTAATGTTTAAACCCCCATTACCTGAATTACAGATACCGTCGTAACATTTAAAGCTTCACTGCACTGAGTGCTTTACCCTCGCTTATACCTTGGCCACCACCAGATACATATTCCCCCTCCCCTCTCTTGTCAGCCTTCTGCAGAGACCATTCTCTCTGGGACACTCTGGTCCACTCCTCCTTCACCCCCAACAGCCCAACGGCACCTTCCCCTGAAACCGCCAAAGGTGTAACAGCTGCTCATTTACTTCCTCCCTCCTCAGTATCCAAGGCCCCAAACTTCCAGGTGAAGCAGTACTTTACCTGCACTTCACTCAATACTGCATTCATTGCTCACAATGTAGTCTCCTCTACACTGGGGAAATAAAGCATAGACTGGGTGACAGCTTCACAGAATATCTATATTCTGTCCACAAAAAAATCCCTGTGCATCCAGTTGCCTTACACTTCAACATAGCACCCTGTTCCCTAGCCACATCTCTGTCTCAGGCTTGCAGCAGTGCTCCAGCGAAGCTCAGCACAAGCTGGAAGAACAACGCCTCATTTTCTGCTTGGAATTCTACAATCTTCAGGACTCAATACCGAGTTCAACAATTTTAGGGCTTGAGGCACCTTTTCCCATGTCCTTACCCCAACCGCCATACACCAGACCTTGTTATCAAAAGGTCTGCTATTACACACAACCCATTGTTAGCTGCTAATAGTCCCACTCTTGTAACTATTCATGCTCCTAGGCTTACCCTTATCCACTCCCTTGTCTGTCCAACTGTTCTTCCCTGTTTTTGGGCTCTTTCTCTATCTATCATTTACTCCTTATCCCCTCCTCTCACCCTATCTTCTGCATAAAAAACAACTTTTTCCTAGTTACCATCAGTTCTGAAGAAGGGTCACTAGACCTGAAACGTTAACTCTGATTCCTCTCCATAGACATTGCCATACCTGCTGAGCTTTTCCAGTAATTTCGGTTTTTGTTTCTGATTTCCAGCATCTGCAATTCTTTGGATTTCTTTTGCTTATAACCTCGTCATATTTAAATTCCTATTACTCTGAGTAGTGATATGCTTGCAAATTTTAAGCCTCCATTACACTGAGTACAGACACCCTCATAATGTTTAAAGGCCCATTACACTAAGTACAGATATGCTTGTAATGTCAAATGCATTACACTGACAACTGATACCCTGGTAATGTGTAAACCTATTACACAAAATATGGATCCCTTCATAATATTTAAATGTCCATTACACTGAGTGCAGATATCCCGGTAATGTTTAAACCCATTACACAGAGTACAGATCATCTTGTAATATTTAAACACCCGTTACACTGAGTGCAGATATATTTGTAATATTTAAACCCATTACACAGAGTACAGATCCTCTTATAATGTTTAAATACCCATTTCACTGAGTGCAGATAACCCTGTAATATTTAAACTCTAGTTACACTGAGTACAGATGCCCTCATAATGTTTAAACTCTTTACAGTGAATACAGATGCCTTCCTAATGTTTAAACTGTTACAATGAGTACAAATACCCTTGTTATATTTAAGCCTCTATTACTTTGAACACTGATAGCCTTGTAGTGCTTAAATACTCGTTACACTGAATACAGATAGCCTCAGAATATTTAAACCCATTATTCTGGTTACAGATACCCTCATAACTTTTAAACTCCAGTTACAACAAATACAGGGTTAGAGTAGGTGGCTGTGTCTGGGTGGGATGCTCTTCGGAGGGTCAGTGTGGAGTCAATGGGCCAAATGGCCTGCTTCCCACTGTAGGGATTCTATGGGATACCTTTGCAATGCTTAAAACTGCATCACACTAATTGCAGATATTATCTAAATATTTAATCCACACCATACTGAATACAGATAACCTTGTAATGTTTAAACTCCAGTTATAACAAGTACAGTTGCCCTGGGATTGTTTCAACCCCAAATACACTGATTATAGCTACCCTCATAATGTTTAAACACCCATTTACAGTGAATGCAGATGCCCTCAGATCATTAAAAACATCCATTGCACACAGTACAGTTACTCTCATAATATTTAAACTCACATTACTGTTTGAACCCCTTACACCGAGTGCAGATACTCTTGTAATGTTTAAAACTTCATTACACGCAGTACGGATACCCTTCTATTGTTGAAACCTCCGTTACACTGAGTACAGATTCCCCCTGTAATGTTTAAACCACATTACACTGAGTACACAAACCCTCATAATGTCTAAACCTAGTTACACTGAGAACTGATAACCTCGTAATATCACAACACTTTTACATCGAGTAGGGTTCCCCTTGTTATGTTTAAACCAGTTACACATGTACAGATAACCTTGTAACGTTTAAACCTCACTTGCACTAAGTACCAATCTCCTTGCAATGTTTAAATCTATTACACTGAGTGCTGATAGCCATGCAATCTTTAAACCCTTTTACACCAAGTACATATACTCTTATGCTGTTTAAATCCCAGTTAAAAAGAACACCTTCAGCTCTTGGAGTCTAAGCTGAACATTTCTGTTACTAATTTTTTTGCCTCTTTGTCCCTAAATGTGCTTTTTAAAATCTACACCTTTGGCCAAGTCTTTTGTAAGTTGGTACGATTGTCTTTTTCTTTCAGTTTATAATGATTTCTTTGGAGTTGTTTTAATGTGTTTCTATGCTAAAGGTGCTTTGTAAATGTGAATTGTTGTTGATACGTTGACCTGTATGATCCAGTGTTACACCATGCTGCATGATTACTCAGTTGGCCACACAGGGTGAGAACTGCTGGCAATCCATAGCAATCCACAATGCAGATCTATTGATTGCAATGTAATTATTAGACATTTATCAAACAATAACTCGCTGCAAAAAAACAGTCAGCACAAACCATACACCATATGATGTAAGAAACACCACAGTGAATACTGTAGTGCATACATGGTGACCCGTTCAAATAAACACACACACACAGACACACACACACACACTCACACACCACACACACACAGAGACATATACATACGTACATACACAGACACACATTCACACACACACACTTTCTCTCTCACACACACACACACATACACACACACACATACACACACACACTCACACAGACACACACACACATACTCACGTACACATGCACACACACACATACACACCACACACAGACAGATACACACTCACAGACATACACATACACACACACACAGAAACACAGACACACATACATTCACATACCATACACACACAGAGACATACACATACATACACACACAGACACACATTCACACACATACATACACACGCACACACTCTCTGACACACTCTCTCTCTCTCATACACACACAAACACACACACACACACACACTTAGACAAATGTACAGATAGACACAAACACAGACTCTTAGGAACTTAGACACATAAAAACAGACACAAACTCAGACCCAATCAATCAAACACTCAATCCCCTGCAATGTCATGTGTTTACTCCAACACTTCAGAGGGCAGTTAAAAGAGATAGTGTTGACTGCCATTTTTATTTTCAGATAATTTGAATTGAACTCACATTCTCAAATTGTCACAGTGAGAGTTAAAAATCAAATTCTCTGGATTATTCATCCGGGTCTCATAATTACTAATTTTATAACACAACAATTACAGTGATGTACCCAAAGATATCTCACTGACATAAATTCTCTACAGCTACTGTAACATCGCCATTATTAGACAGTGTTTAGCTTCACACTGACCTATACTGTGTGATAGCTTTACAATAGGTTCTTTTCTGTGCGGGGTTTCCTCAAAATCCCACTATGTCTGTCTTGCACATATGTGTGCTGGTTCCATGGACTAAGTGGTCAGTGAGGTAGCTCACTGTGTGGAGCTTGCTGAGCAGCGTTTAGCCTGAGCTAGATGATGAGGCCCACATTGGTTGCTGGTGGTAGCATAATGACAACATAAAAAGGCCTTGTAAGGCAGAGGCCCAGAATACGCTCTGGGCACAGGAGTTCAAACTCCCTTCCTGGCAGCTTGTGCGACAAAAATTCAATTAATTAAGTTGGAAGATGAAGCTGGTGACTATAGAAACGATCATCTATTGTTGTAATAACCCCATCTGATTCACTAATCCCTGATAGGGAGGGAAATCTGCCATCTTTAGCTGGCATAGCCTCCATGTGACTCCAGATCCACAGACTCTATGCTGACCCAACACATCAATCAGTTCAAGGGCAATTAGAAATGGGCAACAAATACTTTTTTGCAAGGAACACCCACATCCCATGAAAGAATAAATTTTAAATGCACAGTTGATGGCAGAGGAAGAGGCATTCACTCACCCACCAATGCTGCCTTCATTTATATTCTTTTGTGGACTATGGGTGTCGCTGACTGGGATGGCATCCTTAATTTTCCCAACTGTTGATTTCCATCGTAAGTTTACTTGACCACCTTAGCTTCATATCCCATGATGTCCTCACTTCAGTAAATACAACTCCTCTCAGTATTCGCAATTTCAATCCACCACAATATCTAGCCGAAAGAATTCCAGATTTCTGCTGCCCATTTTATCTTTCCCAATATTCCTCTGAATTGGCCTTGCTCTAACTTAAAGTTCTTTCTTGATACCTCTACAAGGCAAAATATTTTTTCGGCCTCTACCTGATGTCAAATCCTCCTAATGTTATTGTATTTTAAAGATCTCAATCAGTTCTCATAATGTAACAATTTAAGCCAACGTTTATAGATCCAAACCAACATCTATAATGAGTAGATTGTTGTCTGCTTAATTATTCTGCATTGGCATCTGTAAAATCTATTAAAACATACACTCATCCAGTCAACAGCATCCCTGGCCCAACATCAGCCCCTCGGTTTTCTTTGTCCAGGAGGGTGACTGTCGCTGGGATGTAGTTGAATAGGCCATTCTGGCAAGAGAGAGGCATGGCAGCAAATGAACGCAGCTGATGTTGAACACAAATGGTGTCACAACCCTGGCCTTTACCCTGCATCGCCACGCACACTCGATACATAGCAGTGCAGTCAACCGAGGAGATGAAGGGATTCAGGTTGAATCTTGCCATCTCTGAGGTGGGAGGCATTGAGAGACATTTTGAACGACCCCAGTGCCATTCCAGTGTGGGCGAAGAGGAAGGTGGGGGAGGGGGATGGATGGGAAAAGGGAAGGGCTGTGGTGTTCTCTTTTCAATGAGAAAAGGAAGTTCCAAATAAAGAAAAGGCAGTTATCTACTTCCATGAGCCAGCGATCTCCATGAGTCACATCACTTCATCTGGCCTCATTTTCCAGCAAAGCAAACCCGCACTTACCCCACTTCCCCACCCGACCTTACCTTGGGTGCTGTGCCTGTGATGAGTCTCCTGTTGCCTGCATGCCCTGCCTCGGTGCAGGTCGCCTTTCCTGCCATTGGACCTCTCCTCGTCCCAGACTCTCTTAAAAGGTCGGTTCAAAATCCCCTCCACTGAGTGAGTCAGGGGAGGCCTGTCGATGCTCCCAGATTTGGGACTGCCACTCATCCTCTCAAATCAAACCAAAAGGATTCTCCACACTTTCCGATCCCCTCACAAGCTTCTCCTTTCCCTTTTAAAAACAGCCCAAGTTTCTTTTAGCAGAAGCTCGGGATTTTGTTGTTTTTAGATATATCGTCCTGACTTCCTCACCAATGTGGCGCCCATCCTCCCCCCACCCCCACCCTGCTGCTTCACATTATTGTTTTCCCTGCTATCTTTTGAATTATATTTGCCGTTCCTACACAATCCTCTGGGCTGTTTGTCCAATGAGCGAGTAGTCTGGTGGATGATCATGCCTTGCGATCATTAATGAGGTTTGCCTTAGATTACACTGTAACTAGTGTTCAATAAAAAAAAAACTGCCTGATAACATTGAGGCCTGTAAACACAGGAAGCCTCACTGGCCCCTTGGAACACGATTTCCCAGCTGAAGAATGGGCTCCTGCCTGTACCCCGTGCATTATTTAAAGTTAGCACTATACCAGCCGCACCTTGCAGACTGTTTCCTCCGTGGCTGGTGTGGGCAAATGCTGATGCAGCAGAGGTGCGCTGAAGATCAAAGGCCAAATCAAAAATTTCAGCATGGGGTCGTAATTCTTACTGCCATCCTTACCTGGTGTGGTCTACATGTGACTCCAGACCCACAGCGATGTGGTTGACTCTGAGCTCCCCTCTGGGTAATTAGGCTTGGGCAGTAAATGTTACCCTAGCCAGCGATCCCTCATCCCATTAATGAATAAAGGAATTCTGCACTGGGGCCAGTACCAGAATGGACAGGCTCCAATTGATGGCAAATGGCCAATGATCAAAAAGGTCAGATGTCAGGGCCAGTTACTTCTATGGCATTGTGCAAGGACTTCAGGACCCCATTACATTTATTTCCCTTTTCACTTGCTGATTTGAATTGTTTAAATTAGATTATGCAGAAACATGGGGAGCCTAAATTTCCCTGTGGCTTTTTCCATGGCAATATCCCAGCCAAAGTCAACTTGCCAGCCAGTCTGCCCCTCCTCCCCCCCTTTCACCCTGTAGTATAAATTGGTGTGATTCGTTGAAATTTGGCATTCTTGCATTGAGGAGTGTAAGATGAAAAGACTCAGCAACAGGTTTCAACAACGCAAGTTTGTTTTCTCATTCTTTCACAGGGTGTGGGCATCATTGGCTGGGCCATCATTTTCTGTCTATCCTTAATTCCTTCACAAAAGTGAAGAGCAGCTGCCTTATTGAACCGATATAGTCTAACCGATATGTTGTCGGTTCTCCCACAGTGCCCTTAGGGAGTTCTAGGATATTGACCCAGTGACAATGAAGGTACGGCAATGTAGTCTAAATTAGGTTGGTGTGTAACTTGGGGCCTTTAGGGTGCACAAGGCTCATCGAGTGCGAAGTTCACTTTGGAATTTTCTCACTGCCCCAGAACATTCTAACTCTAAGAAGGCCATGGTTTTGAAAGTTTGTGTGAGAGGAGACTGGGTGAGATTCTGTATTGTATCTTGTAGATAGTACACACTGCTGCTACTGAGTGTCAGTGGTGGAGGGAGTGGATGATTGTGGATGTGGTGCCAATCAAGCCGGCTGCTTTGTCCTGGATGATATCAAGCTTCCTGAATGTTGTTGGAGCTGCACTCATTCAGGCAAGTGGGGAATATCCCATTACCCTTCTGGTTTGTGCCTTGTAGATGATGGACAGGCTTTGGGGAGTCAGGAGGTGAGTTACTCGCTGTGGTATTCCTAGCCTCTGACCTACTCTTGTAGCAACTGTATTTATATGAAAGGTCCAGCTGAGTTTCTGGTCAATGGTAACCACCAGGATGTTGATAAGGAAGAATTTGTTGATGATGACACAATTGAATATCAAGGACTGATGACTTGATTCTGCCTTGGTAGAGATTGGTACTTGTTTGGTGCAAATGTTACTTGCTACTACTTATCAGCCTGAAACTGGATGTTGTCCAGGACTTGCTGCTTATTGACACAAACTACTTCAATATCTGAGGAGTTGCAAATGGTGCTGAAATGTGTGCAATCATTAGCTATCTTTTTTATTATTATTTATTAATGGGATGTGGGCAGAATTTAATACCCATCACTTACTGCCCTTGAAAAGGTGATGGGGAGCTGTCATCTAGAACCGTTGCAGTCCATGTGCCCAGTGACAATGAAGGAACAGTGATATATTTCCAAGTCAGCTTGATGAGTGGTTTGGAGGGGAGCTTGCAAGTGGTGGTGTTTCCATGCATCTGCTGCCCTTGTCCTTCTAGATGGAAGTGGTCATGAGTTTGGAAGGTACTATCTAAAGATCTTTGAAGAAGTCAACTTGTAGATGGTACATGTGACTGAGCACCAACGGTGGAGAGAATGAAAGTTTGTGGAAATGGTGTAAATAAAGTGGCTGATTTGTCTTGAATGATATCAAGCTTCTTGTGTGTTGTTGGAGCTGCACTCATCCAGGCAATGGGGAGTATTCTAACATACTCCTAATTTGTGCCTTGTAGATGGTGGACAGGCTTTGGGGAGATAGAAGGTGAGTTACTTGCAGCACTGTTCCTAGCCTCTGACCTGCTGCATTTATGTGGTGAGTCCAGTTGAGTTTCAGGTCAGTGGTAATCCCCAGGATGCTGATAGTGGGTGATTCAGTGATGGTAATACCATTGAATGTCAAGGGGAGTTGGTTAGATTGCCTTTTATTAGAGATGGCCATTGACTGGCATTTATGTGGCACAAATGGTACTTGCCACTTATCAGCCTCACTAATGTCCTTTAGGGAAGGAAACTGCCATCCTTACCTTGTCTGGCCTACATGTGACTCCAGACCCACTGCAATGTGGTTGACTGTCAACTGCCTTATGGGCAATTGGGGATGGGCAATAAATGCTGGCATAGCTAGAAACACCCTCATTCTCTGAATGAATTTTTAAAATGCCCAAGCCTAAATATTGTCCAGATCTTGTTGCATTTGAACATGGACTGCTTCAGTATCTGAGCAGTCATGAATGGTGCTGAACATTGTGTGATCATTGGCGAATATCCCTACTTCTGGCCTTATGATGGACAAGTGCTGCTTGAAAGCACTGTCACTTTACTGATCATTGAGAGTAGACTGATGGAGCAATAACTGACTGGGTTGGATTTCTCCTGCTTTTTGTGTACAGGACAAACCTGGGTAATTTTCCACATTGTCGGATAGCTGCCAGTGTTGTAACAGTATAGGAAAGCTTGGCTAGGGGAGCAGCAAGTTCTGGGATACAAGTACTGCTGCCAGAATACTGTCAGGGCCCATGGTCTTTGTAGTAGCCAGTGTCTCCAACCATTTGTTGATATAATGTGGAGTGAATTGAATTGGCTAAAGGCTGGTATCTGTGATGCTGGGCACCTTAGGAGGAGGCCATGATGGATCACTCACTTGACACTTCTGGGTGAATGCTGTTGCAAATGCTTCAGCCTTGCATTTTGCACCAAGGAGAATGATGATATTTGTGCAATCTCTCCTCCAATGAGTTGTTTAGCTGCCCCCTACTATTCACGACTGGATTTGTCAGGACTGCAGAGCTTAGATCTGATCCGTCGGTTGTGGGATCCCTTAGCTGTGTCTATCACCCAGCTTATGCTGCTTGGCAGGGAAGTAGTCCTGTTTGGTAACTTGACACCTCATTTTTAGTGATGTCTGCTGCTGTTTCTGGAATGCTCTCCTGTGCTCATCATCAAACCATTTTTGATCCAACAGCTTGATAATAATAGAGTGCGGGATATACAGGGTCATGAAGTTACAGATTATGGTTGAATAAAATTCTGTCCCTTCTTCTGAAAGTCCACAGCGTCTCACAGATACCAAGCTTTGAGTCTCTAGATCTGGTCCACTCGCCACGGTGATAGTGCCACACAACATGATTGAGTGCAATGTGAAGGCAGGACTTTGCCTCTACAATGATTGTCCGATGATCACTCTTGCCGATACTGTCCCAGACAAACACATCTGCAGCAGTGGTGAGGACAAGATCAAATATGTTCGCCCCCCTCACCACCTGCTGCAGATCCAGTTGAGCAGCTGACTGATAGGAAACATTGCAGCTAGGCTCGGTCTTCAGCAGGGAGTGAGGAATCCACCAAAGAGAGGAAAACAAAATTGGGCTCGTTCCCACCAATATTCCTGCTGCAGATGCACCAGTCAATGACAGTATCAATAGGAGTGGTCTGTGCGTGACCTTAAAAGATTGGAGCTAAATAAGAAGGTCTCTGACTTGGGAAACATTCTGAAGAGAAAAGCTTTTTTTATTCATTCATAGGATGGGGGCATCAATGGTTGGGCCAGCATTTATTGCCAATCCCTAATTGCCCAGAGGGAAGTTAAGAGTCAACCACATTGGTGTGGATCTGGAGTCACATGTAGGCCAGACCAGGTAAGGATGGTCCCTAAAGGACATGATTAATCTAGATGGATTTTCCTGTCAATCAGCACGGTCATTATTAGACTCATGTTTCCAGATGATTAGTGAATTTGAATTCCAATATATGCTGAGGTGGATTCAAACCCAGGTTCCATGAACATTACATAGACCCCTGGAATAATAGTCTAGCAATAACACCACTAGACCATCACCTACCCCGAACACAATCCAAGGCCCAATAGGGAGTTAGTTAAGTTTGTGCAAGCCCTTCCAAAGTTTGATGAAAGGGGTGCTGAGGCATTTTTCATTTCTTTTGAAAAAGTAGCTAAGCAGATGATGTGGCCAAATAAAACCAGATATTGCTCATATATAGCAAGATTGACAGGTAGAAGCCACAAAGTTTGTGCCTTGTTTTTGGAGGAGGTTGCTTTAAATTATGAGGGAGCAAAAAATGTTGTAGTTGGTGTATACAAGTAGTCCCTGAGGCTTACAGGCAGAAATGTCACAATATTTGGAAGCATCCTGAACGGATTTAGATGGAATTTGCAAAGGTAGAGGAAAATAATTATGGCTGTTGGCTGAAGGCATTAAATGTGGAGACTACATGTGAGACCCTTCTGAGGGATTAATTCTAGCAGAAGTTAAGAATTCACTCTCTTTATTCATAAAAACCCACAGAAAGTTGCAACAGCTACATGAGCAGCTGACATAACTAGTGAGTATAAGCTGGTCGGCTGTTTTTCCATCATCCA